GACGTTCCGATGCGCCGGCACTGTGGCAGTTACCGTCCATATCTGCTCGTTAAACCGTGTGTGCTCGACAGGATCTGGTGACCAACGTGTCGCCTAGGATCGTGCGCGGCACCACTTCTGGACACACCTACGGACCCGGCCAGGGCTCCTTCCTCAACATCGAGCTCATCTCCGAGAAAACATGCGAGTACTGGTGCCGCAGCATCACCGAACTGAAACGGGACTTCAAGGAACAGGTGAGGCGCTGATGCGAGATTACCTCTCTGAACTGTTACTACCTCAAGTATACATAAAGTACTTGCCTCTGAGGTACTATTCTGCAGTTTTAACCACAGCGGTAAACGAATTCCAGAGATCTCGTTTGCTAGCTTAGTACAAGATGTAAGCTTGCCGATAGCCAGAGGGGCGAAGTGTCTGACCGACAGTCCTTTGCTGACAGATCCTGATTGCCAGCATCATGTGCAGCTACAACGAGGAGGACTGGACGGAGCTGGCGCAGAAGGCCGAGGCTGCCGGTGCCGACGCCCTAGAGCTCAACCTTTCCTGTCCGCACGGCATGGGAGAGCGCGGCATGGGACTCGCCTGCGGTCAGGTGAGCTGACAAGATGTAACATGGGGCTGGTCTGCGGTCAGGTGGGGATACTGGGCGGGGCCCGGCCTCGAGTCACGATGGTCGAGACGGTTGGGAAGACGTCTGGCCGACCAGGGACATGTTAGGAAGACCCAGGGCCGGTAGGGGCTACGGCATCTACGTCCAGGCGTCTTTTGTGTTTGAATTTTTTTATTATACAGCCTGCTCGCCTCAATCAGACGCTAAAGCACCTCTGACATCGCATTCTTCCGGCCAGGACCCCGAGCTGGTGCGTAACATCTGTAAGTGGGTGAGAGCCGCCGTCAAGATCCCCTTCTTCGCCAAGCTGACACCAAACGTCACGCACATCGTCGACATTGCCAAGGCCGCCAAGGAAGGTAGGACCGATCGCATTGAGTACGGCGCTGTAACGTAGACTCTACAACGAAAAAGTTATGTCCTGGGTTGAATGTGACGAGCCACGTTCGCAGATTCTATGCCGAAGCGGTATAACGTGCATGTCTGAACCTTCAGTCGATTTCGTACAGTTTGTAGGGACTGAGGAGCGGAGACAGATGCGTCTGTGACAGGGGGAAGCACTCGCCTTGGCCGTATATGGGCCAGAATGTCTAGCGATTTCGGCCATGTTGTGTATACCAAAGTCTTGAAAAGTTGATCGATGCAATCAAACTGCAAGCATGAAGCAGCAGCACTTTTGAGAAGTGTACCTCTCACTAAACTGCACCTCTGCTACCGTAATGCAATTTATATTTCTGGTATACACAACATGGCGGAAATCGATAGACAAAAACAAGCCACCAATGGTCCTTCCAGTATATATTAGAGTTCAGTGGTCTGTGACCACTAGGAAATAACCTCGATGCGTTGGAACTCGAATTGATGACTGACTGCGTGTCGACAGGTAACGCGGACGGCGTCACTGCTACCAACACCGTCTCCGGCCTGATGATGCTCAAGTCGAATGCGGTGGCGTGGCCGGCCGTCGGCAGTGACCTGAAGACCACCTACGGCGGCGTCAGCGGCAACGCCATCCGGCCGATCGCGCTGCGGGCCGTGTCGGCCATCGCGCGCGCCCTGCCCGGCTTCCCCATCCTGGCCACGGGAGGCATTGACTCGGCAGAGGCCGGACTGCAGTTCCTGCACGCCGGAGCGTCGGCACTGCAGGTTGGTAGACGTGGAACACCGCCCCTGTCTCATGCCGTTTCATGCCCCACATATCAATTGCCTGCTCGGCCGCATTCCCTCAGCTGTTCTGTACTCATTCATTCGTTCCCGCTCAAATGTTGGCCATTCAGGGCCCACGTTATATTTACAAATGCGAGACTATGGCGAAGGCTTCGGGCAGTCAATCAGCCAGGTTTTTGACTCCTCCGGACTTGTTTCAGGTGTGCAGCGCAGTGCAGAACCAGGACTTTACTCTGATTGATGACTTCTGCACCGGCCTGCGGGCGCTGCTCTACCTGTCTACGCTGCCGAGTACTGCCGACTGGGACGGTCAGAGCGCGCCCACGCCCAAACACCAGCTCGGAAAACCGGTGCCGGCCATCAGCGAGATTATCGGAAAGGTACGAAGCGCTACTCTATTGCTACAGAGTGCTGATCAGCCCAGGCAATATCAACGAAGCGGTCTGCTAGTTAACCCTCGCATGTGTAGGGGGGGGGGGGTCGGATGGACCCCCCCCCCATGGTGTTTCGCGAATAACTCGCGTAAAAAGCGGCCGATCGCGACGAAACTTTCAGTACCCTCGCATTGATCAATTTGACACCTACCCTGAAAAGTTCATGACCCTGACCCAAATGACCTTTGACCTGTGACCTCTTTTCCGAGACCATGTTTGGCCGGAATCGCGATTCGGCGTACGTCGGCTCGCATTGGCCGCGCGTTTGCAAGCTTTTCGTGGTTTCAAACGTTCAAACATGTGATTTGATGTTGCTCCCATGCATTAGGGTGGGTGTCGAGGTCACCTGAAGGTCAGGTCAGGTCATTGACCTTTGGTGACCTCGGGTGACCTCGGTTCACTTTTTCGAGTTTTACATGTTTCTAGGCTAGTTTTTGGAGCTGAATTCGAATTTAGCAACCATTTGAACATTTACGAAGTAGTTTTGGTGCCTTCGTAACATGTTACGAAGCTGTCAGAGGCGGTTGACACGTACTACGAATACCCGTCACGACGCCTACTGATTGACCTGACCTGACCTGACCCGACCTGGTCTAAATGCTTAAAGACATCATCTGTGATCAAAACTAACACGATTTTCGTGATCAGCACCCCGAAAAACCCCTTAGCAGCCTTAGCACTTTACGACTTTCTAATAGGTCCCGATTTTCCCGACTTTGGGTCATTGACCTGACCTGGAAGGTCAACCAATGACCTAGGACCTTAAAATTGGGTATCATCGGCTTCCTCTCGTCACGGGCAACACGCTCGTTTTTTCCGCGAAGCTCTAGCTCGATCAGGGGCCAAACGGCAAGGGGGGGTCCAACCGACCCCCCCCCCCCTACACATTAGAAGCTGGAAAACGCCGCACACATGCGAGGGTTAAATTACCTAACAGTTTGTGTAGGATAGACGAGCTATGAGGATGATTTGCCTTGACCGGGCGCACCAGTAACGAGGCTACATTGCAGACAGACCAGCTGACGGAGTGATGCACTTTGAGTAGAAATTGAAACACTTACTGTCCCCTCCGCGTATCACTACCACCTATTTAGAACACGAACGTTTCCAACACAGAGCCGATCAGTTAAACCGCCTGAGTAACCTACATCATGTACCGCCGCAGGGTCTGGCCAATTTCGGTCCGTACCGCGCAGAGCGGGACCGGGTACTGGCGGAGAAGCACCGCTCGGCCGACCTGCTGGACGGGAAGGCGGAGCCGCAGCGGCCGGCAGTGAAGCCCGCCGCGCCCATACCCACCATCGGAGAGCTGATCGGCAAGGCGCTGCCCATGATCGGCGCCTACAACGACCTGGACAACCAGCAGCACAAGGTGGCACTGGTGGACGAGGTGAGTGCTGAGAGCTGGGCGGTGGCGGGAAAATGGACGTTCTACATAGATGGAGGGTAGTCGTCGGAAAGAACAACAGATTCGTTGACCGCCAGTTAAATGAAGTAGATCATTCTTGGTCGGTTATGATTCGTCGACCATCAGTATCCATCCGCATGTCCAATCGAACCCAGTGCTCATGCGACGTTGCCGGCGCTGCCAGGCTAGACAGTGTCGCTCGCTCTCAGACGACATGAAGGTACGGTTAGCTAACTCGCCCTCTAGCACCGCCAGGCCGGTATAGCTGTCGGTTCGCTCCCTGGCAATGCCACGCTACATGCCATAACCGCGAGTCAGCTCACCTCCCTCTCCCGCTCCCCTCAGGACATGTGCATCAACTGCGGCAAGTGCTACATGGTTTGTAACGACTCCGGGTACCAGGCGATCGAGTTTGATCGGCGCACCCACCTTCCGAGGGTGACCACCGACTGCACCGGCTGCACGCTCTGCGTCTCCGTCTGCCCCATCATCGACTGCATCAAGTAAGACGCGCGATGGTAGTCAAGCAGCCATGATTGGGCGATGTCAGTCGCATGAGGGGAACTCACTTAATTGGCGGCAACCGCCGTTAGGCATTCTAGTCGAATTTCCCCTCTTTCTTTCTTTCTTTCTTTCTTTCTTTTCAAATATCCAAATCAAATTTCATCCCTTGGTATGGTAAGGGCGTGCGCTGCTCATTGCGGCCAAAAGTATGACCTAGAAATGGCATTGAGTGATCTTTTTTAATGCTGTGCAATTATCACCCTGTATCCATTCACATGTCTAACATGAGTCAGCCACGAAATCACAGGCCGTGCGGTAAGTTGTATGCTCAGGCATGGTCACTGACGTATGTTTTTACCAACAGGATGGTGCCACGGACCACGCCCTACGTACCCAAGCGCGGCCTGCCCCTACCGGCCTAAGCAAGAAGAGGCAACAAAAAAGAGGATCTTGCCGTTCAGAGAGACACAATATCGCCACGGACTTGCCGTATACCCACCGGTGGCATGACGCGGGGTAGATGAGTAAGCATGATGGTAGCGACGAGCGCCAGCAGCGGCCAATAAAGGGGACCAAGAGATTTGATATATGCCTTTATAGTATTATCATGATAAAGCTTACATAGTAGCTACTAACACGGGTGCGTTCTAGCTTATGTGCTTCTATCGAGGAAGATCGATAGTTCGGTAGACTGCCTTGGTCAAGACTTGGTGCTAGCATATTATTTCTGAGTGCGGGTTCGTTCTAAGGGTAAACGAAACGCTTGTTATGATAATACTCAATATATGATATTATAATTATGCAACATGTTTGACTTTCGGCTAGATTCCCCAAAAATTCAACGTTGGAAATCTCAAGACATTTGGAAACTAGAAGCTATACGAAGTCATGTGTGTATTTGATGACATATTGAGGCCGATCACAGCATACTCCCCATAGTACGCTCGCCCCCGAGCGCGTTGCCCTACTTGGTTTTCTTCTTGGTGGGCCTGGCCGCATCTGCGCGCTGCCGTTTCGACGCCTTGGAGCTGGGTTTTGTCGGCTCTGGAGCGGCAGCGGGTTCGGGCAGTGGTTCCGGCGGCGGCTCCAGCGGTTCTACGGTGAAACCAGGGATCTGTCGGCATCGGTGACGATCGGTCAGAGGGCAAGGCCGTCAGAGCTCACGACACATGGTCCCAGTAAAACCATGAGACCAGTTGATGGGAGCACTGTGCCATGTGGACCTTATATTGGCACCTCCAAAGGAATGTAATTATCGTTCGGAGATTTACTAATTGTGACAGAATGTAGTTATGACTGCGCGACTAAGTGAATGAGGGCATACATGAATCATGAATGCATGAGGTCCACCGCGGCGCAGATACCGGCCGGCTGTTGTAGCCGCAGCGCAGCGGAGCACGACTCACCTCTGGTTTGACGAGTTTCATGACGAGCTTCTGCTGCTGGATGTTGCGCGACTCTACCGACAGCTGGACTATGACCTTGTCGAAGGTGCGCAGCGTCACCCCCGCTGCAGACTGACAGGGCACCTGGCGAACACCGGACCGCACGTTACGCAAGGAATGCCACAGTTACACATCAGGCGTCGACCGATGTCAAACAGGTAGCTTTTGCCACACCGCGCACGGTCCCAGCCACCCTCACCAATTCGCCAAACGACAAACTGTCCGTTCCACCTTGGTTCCACCGACCTATTACAACTCCTCTTCGGCCCGTCCCCGCATTTTGTGACTGGTCATTAGGGTTGTTCAAAAAAACCGAATTTTGGAAAAGTATATAGGCTCATGGCTCATGTGGTGCGGTATTCTTTTCTGAGTCCAATGATACCCTTTTTTCCGAAAAGAATTACTACTAGGCGCTGCTCAAACGGCTTAAAGAGGACCATGTTACGCCCGCCGACCGGCCGGTGTCAATAAGGGCGAGAATTCGACGCCGCACGGCGGCGGCAGCGCCTTATCGGCACCGCGCGCCACGACATCTGCCGGGCGGCCGGCTGGGCGGTGGGAAGTTATAAGTGCGTGGTCTTATTGCACACGATCGGGGTGAGCTATCCCATGTTTTCGGGGCGGAAAGTTTCAGTGCAGCGTCGGTGCGTCTGCCACGGTGGTCTGTGTCGATGGTATTGAAAATAACTCAAGCAGAGCTCAGAAAAGAATGAATGATTCCGGGTAGTTGCCTCGAAACAATCCGTTTCAAGAATACAGCTGCCTTCTTTACGTACCGTATCACTTGTTAATTCTTCAAAAAGCAAACTCTGAGCAATAACACACCTCTTTGCGTTGCTGTTGACAATTTACGTTAGTTTTTGACGGTGGCTCGCACCCCCAATATGCTGCCGCGCAACTTTATTCCAACGGCGAAACGTCAACTTCGCGGGAATCGAAAATTCACGATATACGTACAGCAGGGGCTGGCAATGCAGTATGCACAAGGACAGAATATGGAGGAGACCCGACAGTCATCGGCCCAAGTTTGGGGGTGGCTTTGACGAGCATATGCGTCACCAATGTCATTATTCAGATACGTTGATGTCAGATGCTGGGGCAACAGAATCGACGCCAGGTGTAACTTAGATTAGCGGGTCGAAAGAAAACATAACATGTCTGGGAATGACAGAGTGGCCACCCTGACAGTGTGACGAAGTGAGACATGAGTAGAGACATTAGCCGGAGTACCTACTCATATAAATCAAGCGCCGTTTATCCAATCCTTCGAGCATAAGCGACGCCGGCAGTTCGGCCAGGGCGGCCGTGCCCACCGATGCCGATCAAGACCCGAATCCAGACCCGGCATAGAACACAGCTCTGCCCTGACGTGACACATTACCCCGGTGTGTCACTCATGACGGATAGACCAATGCAGGAGCCTTGCCAGCTCCTGTTGTTCCTACTTCGTTAAATTTTCGATTCTCGCTAAGTTGCCGTTTCGTCGTTGGAATAGAGTTACGCGGCAGCATATTGGGGCTGCGAGCCACCGTCCAAAAGCAACTTAAATTGTCAACAGCAATGCAAAGAAGTCTGTTATTGCTCAGAGCTTGCTTTTTGAAGAATTAACAAGTGATACAGTACGTTAAGAAGGCAGCTGTATTCTTGAAACGGATTATTTCGAGGCAACTACCCGGAATCATTCATTCTTTTCTGAGCTCTGCTTGAGTTATTTTCTATACCATCGACACAGACCACCGTGGCAGACGCACTGATGCTGCACTGAAACTTTCCGCCCCGAAAACATGGGATAGCTCACCCCAATCGTGTGCAATAAGACCACGCACTTATAACTTCCCACCGCCCAGCCGGCCGCCCGGCAGATGTCGTGGCGCGCGGTGCCGATAAGGCGCTGCCGCCGCCGTGCGGCGTCGAATTCTCGCCCTTATTGACACCGGCCGGTCGGCGGGCGTAACATGGTCCTCTTTAAGCCGTTTGAGCAGCGCCTAGCAGTAATTCTTTTCGGAAAAAAGGGTATCATTGGACTCAGAAAAGAATACCGCACCACATGAGCCATGAGCCCATATACTTTTCCAAAATTCGGTTTTTTTGAACAACCCTACTGGTCATCCCATCCATCTAGTCGAAGCGGCCGCTCACCGACACTTTTGAACACCATCCCTCCATCTCATCTCCTGCCATCTTGTCTAAACGTCCTGACTCGCCGGCTCGATGAACCAACTCACCTGTTCGTCATAGACGAACTGCACTGTGGCGTTTTGTCGCTCGGAGCCGGGCAGCAGGATGGTGCTCTCCAGGCCGTACTTGGGTACCAGCACGGAGACGGCGTTCTGCTTCACCTGCAGCACGTAACCCTCCTCCTCCCGCACACGCTCTCTGAAAAATAACTGAGGGCGCACAGATATACCGGTTAGCTATGCGAACAGACGGCAGAAATGGTCACGAATGCTCGTGGTTTTGACTGTTTGGTAACGTCATCAACAACACGTCATCAACAGCCTAAGCATTTAATTTTTGTAATAGCTGTGCAGTACAAATGCCGTCCGAGCAGTTTATGTACTAAGTGCGAGAACGTAAAAAAAAAAATAGACGACAGGCGAGCAAATGACCCTGGCACCGATCCAGTCTGCACTTCGCCGATGAATTTCAGCTGCTGTTGAACGCATCCACTATTATCAGTTCAATACGACCCTCTACGGGGCTGTAATAATGTTCGTTGATAGTCTAGTCCTTCGTGCTTTTCCAATAAACTGTTTCACTTTTCCACGATATATTTGAATGTCCGAGATAGGCCAGTGATAATGACGGGTAAAAGAGACCGGCGAGGGAGCGGCCCTCGCACGGCCGACCAAGTCTGAGACCGAGACTGACTGCGACTGACTACCCGGCGGCGGCCGGCGCAATCGACGGCTCCGAGTAGAGGTCGCCTCGGTCGTACAAGCTCTGACAATGTTACAGGGGCATCTCCATGCTTCAGGGCTGTGAGCTTTAGACTGGAGCCATGCTCTTATAGACTAGCAGACACAGGCGATAGAGTCCCACTGCTACAGTACTCACGTGTGTGTGCAGGCCGACTGAGGCGCGCTGCGAGTACTGGGCCATCCGGTGCCGGTAGTTGATGTGGTTGCAGGTGTTCTGCGTTCGCCGCTTGTCGAGCAGCTCCTTGTAGGTGGAGTCCTGGCCGGTGACCACGGCCAACAGACGGTGCACGATGATATCTGCGTACCTGAGAAGAGAATAGGAAGCAGGGTACTTTGATACATGGGCAGCACAGGCAGCACGACAATATACCTCAGATTGCGCCACTACAGGCAGTACACGTATGATCCAGTGGGACAGCGTTGCGCTCAGGGTAGCGAGCATCTTGAGGCATTAAGTCTGATGGCCGGATGGGTGACGAAGTGGGTGTAGAATTGTAGATGCGTGCCCTTAGTTCTTACCTTCGGATCGGCGACGTGAAGTGTGTGTAGATGGGCGCCGCCAGTCCGTAGTGCTGGTACAGCTCTCTGCTGACGGTTCCCGTACAAAAGTACACCGCCTGCATCATACAGCGGGTGGCCATGATGCGCAGCATCGTGTTGAAGTAGGGCGTGGCCGGCTTCACGGCGGAGTTCAGAGACTCCTGCAGACGCTTGTTGGAGCTGACGTCCAGCTCGAAGCCCTGCCGGACAATTAAAACGTGAGCCGCATCAACACAGACTCTTCCTCTCTACGGGGGCCGGGTAAGCGAGCACAGCAAAGTAACGAATATCAAAATGAAACCTGACATGGATGCTAGATGCTTTCAAGCAGGTGCGCTCGGTGGTGGTGGGTACCCTGAGAATGTGAGGAAGGCTATCAGCCCATCAGCCCACGTCCCGTGAGCCCCCATACCTGCAGTCTGGCGGCCTTGATGAGCGGCAGGAAGTTGCTGGGCGGCGGCTCCGGGTGCCGCCGCAGCAGCGCGCACTCGGGGAACTCGTGCAGGATCTGCTCAGCCACCGACACGTTGGCCAGCAACATGAACTCCTCCACCATCGAGTTGGTCTCCAGCAGCTGCTTGGACTGGACGTCGATCGGGTCGTGCGTCTCCGAGTCGATGTGGAACCGGATCTCGGGAGAGGCCAGCAGCAGCGCGCTGCCAGAGCAGACGGAATGTGTCAGAGCTCAATATTCACGGAGAATGATAGAAACGCTCAGGTGAGCAGTCAGACTGAACGGGGAAAAGCATAAATAAATAATACAGCAACCAAGCAAACATAACGTCGTTTTTATAGCCGTAGAGAAACATATGACCAACACCAAAGATATAGACAGGACTTAATTTCAGCGGTGAACATATGGAATGTTCCCCACTGACGTAATCGATCATTCGGTCCATTATCGCTGACGACCTGATACACTGCATTCGGTCGGCGGTGCGCACCCGTCGTCGAGGCGTCGCTGTTTGAGCTGCTTGGCCAGCATGTTGAGGCCGCGCAGCGATATCGACACGGCGTCCTGCTGGGTGACATCGTCTATCTTCAGCTGAGCCTCGGCGTACGTCAGCGCTGCGCGGGACCTGAGGAGATCGGTAACAGTGACAGGGGTGTTCTCCGGAAAGTGTAGAATAAGCTCCATCCCAGCCCACTACCCATCTATTGTTACCTCGACACCATGATTAGAAACATAAAAATATGACAGTTGTGGAGTACTTGTAAACAGTCCTAAAGTGAAAAGTGATAAGCAAACGACACATCTTATCATGTTACGTTTCAAATACGTTAACAAATCCCTGTCATGACAAATGTTCGATAGGAATTAATAAAATGATCAACGAGTCACCAACTAAACCGGCACACAAAAAGAAAACAGTTTGCCCACCTGATGATGGACTTGTGGAACTTTGTGTTGACGATCTCGGCCTTTGGGGTGATCTCCCAGATGCAGGAGAAGGCGAACCGGGTCTCCCCACCGCGCAGCGAGCAGAGGTTAGAGCTGAGCAGATCTGAAATGGCACCAAACATCGTTTGAGTTATAAAGACAGAGTACGTAACTGATTCGAATGATGATTATCAAAGCATGCTACTTGATAGCGACTGCGAGTCACCTGTACGGGATGTTGAAAAGATATCCAAAATGAGCCTCTCTCCGCGACTTGGGAGGGAAATGTGGTAGATGGCAGATAAAAGACGAGTAGATGACTGGACAGAAGTGGAGTGAACGGGGACAGAGGTCATCGAGGGTATGGGATGGGCGGAGGCCAGTACAGCATGAGAGGCTGAGCAGGCCGGGCCGGGGCATGCCATACCTGGCACCATGTCGATACGTTTGTCGATCAGGTAGACGGTGGTACCCCGGTTGGCGGCCTCCTTGTCGATAGCGGTGCCGGGCCGGATGAAGTGCGACACATCGGCAATGTGGACGCCCACCTGCGGTCAGAGAAAACACGGTCAAAAAGCGCCGAAAAACTCTACAGACCGGTGCACACAACGGCCACCGCTTCCCCTAAAAAATAATGTTGAAAGTCTTGAGATGCAGGCTAAACGTACGATACAGGCAGTCATAGGAAAGAAAACGGGTTCATCTAAGCTTGTGGGCAGCTGATATATTCATGGAGAAAATTTCTTTTTTTTACAAAGTGAGGACTCTTATAACACTATCCGAACCATATAACATTTTAGTCAGTTTGCCGTTCTAGTGACGCAGACCAGTGAAGAAATCTGACACGCACCTCATAGTTCCCGTTCTTCAGCGGTATGCAGTGCAGCGCGTCATCGATGTCTGTGCAGCCCGGCGGGTCGACCTGAGGCAGAAAAATGACGCATCAGTCGATAATGGAAAATACTGACCCTGCTTGATGTTTGGGTCATTGGAGAAGCACACTCCATGGGTGGAGTGGACTTAACTGGAGAACCGAATGAGGGCCGATTCAAAAGCAAGTTTCGTCAAAAGGGATTACAAATACATCAATTTACCGCAGGGCGGAAAAACGTCTACTTCAAACAAAACAAGAAGCCTGCGCCAAAAATCAAATACAAATAGCAACCTGAGTCTGAGCCAGCCGTCTGAGCCGGATGTGTGGAATGCAAAGTGAGTTATGTCTCCACTGAATAGGCAAAGTGAGGAGACACTTACCGAGCACACATCCACATGGCGAAGGTCCACACGATTCGCTTCATCCTGGAACAACGGGAGAGCGGGATCAGCATGGCACATGTATTTGACATTCATATAATTTCCCAGCTCGATATGGGTTAACCTAGCGGATAACAGGGGCGTAAATAAGCAGGGCTCTGTCCAAAACACTGTCACCCAACTTTCCCCAATTTTCCAACTGGAATATAGCACGCTCGATCTGAAAAAAAATAACGTCTGTGTGCGCATGGGCAGAAAAGGTGACGACTCCTTTCTTTAGCGTCTAGCACAAAACTATACGCACGTGAAAAACAGTTGCCAAATGCGTTCTTAAAAAGACACGCAAATTGCAGACATTTGTCCGTTTGTAATATAGCGACATAACTAAATTTCGCGGTGAATATTCTAATGCTAATCTAACTTTTCTTACGGGACTGAACAACTCTGCTGATGTATCAACAAATAATTTATATCCAGAGCATAAATTCCCTGGGAGTGATGGCCACAAACTGTGAGGACTAGCAGCGCTACAGCTTCGCTTATGAAATGCCCGCGTCGGCGCCCTCCACGAGTTGGTGGGACAGGTGGTTCAAGAAGCAGTCGCCCTCCCGACCGTCTCGGCCACAGAGTCGGCAATCGACTCAGGCCCGGCAGGTTCGCAGGAGTTCCACGCCGGCGACTTCCAGCGGCCAGCCGGCGACTTCCAGTGGTCAGCCGGTGAGTTCTGGCAGTCAGCCGGCCGCGACACCGGTACAGCCGGACCGCACACCGCCCGCCGCCAGCTGCCCCGCGATCGTGATCCAGCTCGCATCGTCCACGGAGAGCCAAGGCCAGGACCAAAACGGTGACCTCGGTGTATCAGGATCCAGCGAGCCCATCGCTACCACCTCAGCCTCTCCCGAGTCGAGTGCGAACAGACCGACCACTGCAAGACCGACTAGAGTTGGATTCCGTGAAAACGACTTGGTTTCATCTGATGAGACTGAGGAGGAAGACCTACCTAAGGTGAAGAGGCAGCGGCCGGAGTATCAGACTCCACCGGACAAACCTGACAGCACAGTTCTCGGGGAGTTCGAGAAAGTAAACAGGGTAATACTAGCCCAAGAGTCGGAAAACGAAGCCCTGGCGAGCGCAGAGGATACTGATAAGGACGAACAGGAACCGTCTCCGTTGGAACAGCAAAATGCTGAGGCGGATAAAATCAAAACACAAATCGGAGAGGCCAACGCTGCCATACAGGGTGTCAAAAGCTTCGAACACCAAACAAAGGAGAAAAAGAAGATTAGCGAGCTGAAGGCGGAAGGTCAAAAACTGTTGGATTTGTGGGGAGACGCACTGGAAAAGAAGGACGTACTGATGCAAGTTATTCGAGAGTGTACCGACGCCACCAAGTAAGTACCGTAGTCCCTCAATATTAAACAATTCAAGTAAACAGTCGATAATTGACCTGATGTCAACTAGCTGATGTCAACGGTCTGATGTCAACTAGCAGAATTGGAGGCTAGACTGGCTAGATCACCCAAGGCAAGTGATCTTGGTGCAGAATGCTCGCATACACGTGCTAAATAAGCGCACCTACAAAAGTTGTCAGTGGGGGAGGAGGTGATGGACCTAATTCATAGCCAGTGTCATAAACTCATAAACGTTAGCATTGTAACTATTCTACAAATTTGAACAAATGGACGTTCTCGTCAAATGGGCTGAGTCAGCGCAATCTTCACTGTTGCCAGTCACCAAAGATTGAAAAGCATTGAAATGATTGTCAAACTCCCTCCGCTTCTACTTTGCAGTCAGTCGACAGAGCGGCTCAGCAGGGATGTCAAAGAGCTCGAGCAGCTCTACGGAGAGCTGGCTGAGGCGCTGGCCAGTCTACAGAGGACCACCAGCTGCCACAAGGCCGTCAAAAAGGACATCGCTGTCATGAAGAAAGCCGTCACCAATGCCACAGCCAAGGGTTAGGAATTAAACGTTTGGAAAAAGTGTAACAACCAGATTTAGCACAAAGTGACGTAGCTGATTGATAGAATAACATTTTAACGTGATTGAGCTCATAATGTCCATCGGAACCAACATCGGAACCATGAATCAAATGAAAGTACATGCCACAGTGTGTTCCTTAGATGTGCGTTATGCCTTCGTCCTGTCGTTTTGAGTGAAACACATGCATGTAATATATGCTGTTCATCTTATTTGTACCTATTTGATTCACTGGTTCCGATGGATATTATGAGTGCAAATTTCGCCAAAAAAAGCAATAGCGTGCCTAGAATCAAACGAACTTCGGCAAGCTTAGGTGCATGGCGAACGCAGAGGGACTAAGTTATCCTTAACAATATGCTGAAAGCCACTAATTAGCCCGTCTACCGGTATCGGCGTCACGTATAAAGCACCACAAACGCTTGGACCAGTGATTGCTTCCCTTCGAGAAGAGACTAGGTACATGATAAATGAGTTAGAGCAGGTATTGTACCTTATTGTGAGGACCACGTAAAGGTCTTTCCCCTTTGTTTGTGCAGAACAAGCTGAGGTCGGCAAGCTGGCAGCCGCGCACGAGAAGGAAGCTTACTCCAAATGGCAGTCGCTGAAGGGCACCTCGGCTGATGTCGAGGCACTGGAAAAACTGCGCACCGAGTTGACGGTGAGCGAGATCGATTCCTTACCCCACCAATGACTTCGTTAGCCCTGTACACGTAGAGATCAATGGGGAGGAGAAGACGGCGAGTGTGTAGAGGGGGGGGGGAATTTGTTTGCATATCTTAATGCCGACACCACCGGCAGGAGAAGCAGCGAGCTCTGACCGGGCTGCAGACTTTGGTAGTGCGGCGGCTGGCGCAGATGCAACAGTCTGACGCGGGGATCACGGAGCGCTCCACAGGAACCGCCGGCAAAGGTCAGTGGTTAGGGCACAAAGACTGGGGCCCCGTCCGGGTGTGTAAAAGGGACATGGAGTGTTGTGTAATCCACTTTGTAATCATCGGTCGTGCAGGTCCTCTACTGACGTGAGCTGGTGTCAGTCTCGCCACAGCGCGTTCCGCCACCGCCGCCGCCGGCCGGACGACGAATCGGCGCCGGCCGCAGTACCGGCAAACGGCGACTGGCTGAGGAGGCGCGGCACGAGCGGCGCGGCGGCGGCGGCCAGCGCGGAGCGGGCGCGCCCAGCGCCGTGGCCACCCAGGCGGGCTCAGTGCCGACGCTGGGCCACGGTCCGCCCGCCACCGTCTCCGTCTTCACCGGCACCGTGAACTCCATGGCAGGCGCGAGCAGCGGCATGGCCACCACAGCCACCACCAGCGCCATGGCGGGGCCTCCTCCTCCCCCTCCGCCGCCACCTCCACCGCCGGCACCGGCGCCGCGGAACATCGACGAGGACGATATCGACGATAGTGGCGCCGACGAGACGAGCACCAGTGCCGAGGAGGAGAACGCACCGTTTGACGGGGAGGAGGCCCTGCTGGCCGCCGCGTTCCCTCTGCAGTTCGGACCGGCCCTGTTTGACGGCCTGGAGCCGGCCGAGGCGGCCAGAGCCATGGCCAACGCCATCAACTTCCGCTGAGTTATGAACGACGATTGACCGAAAGTGGTAGCCGTAGGCCAGTACAACTACCAAACACATACCTACCGATCAATAATTATAAGTGGTTAATAAGTGTAACGTCACGTCAATGCGTTAGCAAAGGTTTTTTAGCCGTCTCTGGCCAAAAAAAAAATTAAAAAAAAAATCGTCACGTCAGAATAACAGAAAATCGCCAAGTAAATGTCAATGCTTCCCTTCCCACAGCGCTATTGTTTTGTGTTTCACTGAAATTAATATATTTAGGGACGAAATGAGTTGCAGCTGGGAAATAAATGCATACCGTTCACTCGAGTAATTAATTCAAGTCAGCGGGCAGGCCAGCACCAGAATTTGAACGGTAGCCGGTAAGCACTGTGAAACGGGCGAGTGCCGTGGTTTCGGCGGTGGTCGGGCACTGCGCACCTGCGGGGTGATGACCCAGGGAAGCTGCGGTACACAGGCCAGCACTGAGACTCGGGAGGTAAGCACAGGACGAGTATCGTGGTTCGAGTCCGAACAGTAAGCGGGCGCTGCTCACCTGCGGGGTGATGACCCAGGGCAGCTGCGGCAGACACGCCAGCACCGGTTCAGAGAAGTGACTGTGCGGAACGTCGTGCTCCAGAAGCAGTACTTCGTTCTCGGCAGATTTGGTGCCGATCTTACCGAGGTCGCGGCAGAAGTGGCCCTGGAGACAGAGCCGTTATCAGAGTCAGATGGGCGGGCTCAGACGACACAACACACAATGCTCAACGCACACTCCCAACAAGCAACGAAATCAAGGCACTCCAACCACTAGCTGACTCGAAAGCCTCTGAGATGCAGTCTCACCGGGCAGGTAAATTGCCAGCTTACAAAGGATCTTAATGCGATGTTATGACCTACGTGGCATCGACTTGGCTCCTTGGTTTTGGGACACTTCCTGCCAAGATCGCTCTACCTGTCGATACTGTGAGCTTCCGTGTCTGACCAGCGGGTACCGAACGCTACTATCCACTGTATGTACCAGGTCTGTCTTCTATCGGGGTTGCCGTGTGTCACCTGAAGGGTATCGGGTACGGTGACGGGTACGGTGACCGGCGCGGTGGGCAACGGGAGTTACTATCACCTGTCTCACCTAAGGGTAACGGGAGTTGCTGAGACTCACGGGCGGATATCACGGGCGGATATCGGCATTGGTCTCATCTTAGCGCATGAGTTCCTGAGAATACTTAATTCTGAGTACCAGCTGGATTTGTCTTACCTGCGGATAGCGGGAGTTGCGCGGCCAGCTGTCGATGGACACCACCACCCTCTGCTCTGCCAGCTGACGTCTCGGGGCCTTACCTGCGGATAGCGGGAGTTGCGCGGCCAGCTGTCGATGGACACCACCACCCGCTGTCCGGCCAGCTGACGTCCTTACCTGCGGATAGCGGGAGTTGCGCGGCCAGCTGTCGATGGACACCACCACCCGCTGTCCTGCCAGCTGACGTCCTTACCTGCGGATAGCGGGAGTTGCGCGGCCAGCTGTCGATGGACACCACCACCCGCTGTCCGGCCAGCTGGCGTCCTTACCTGCGGATACCGTGAGTTGCGCGGCCAGCTGTCGATGGACACCACCACCCTCTGCCCTGCCAGCTGACGGCCCCGGGCAGTCTGGATCACCACCCGCGGTATTCGGTCGTTGGCCGGAACAAACTGGTGGGACATCTCCTGCAGAAGTAACGCGCAAAGTCACGGGGGTGACCAGTTTTAGGACGTAATTAGGCAGCAGGTTAGAAAACAAGAAATACTCGATAATGCAAAATAACTAAGCGATTGTCCGACAAATTCAACGAATTACTTGTGTTCATGTTTTTATTATGAAATAAATAACATACCAACCATATAGCTCAGAGAAGTGGCCGCTGACTTACCTCAGCGATGGGGTTGAGTTCGACCATGCCGCAGTACTGGCGCCACTTGCGTTTGATGATGCCCACCACGCGGCCGGTGGGCTGGGCGCCCGGCTGGCCCAGGCACGACGCAGGCGGAAAGTCCCGCTCACAGGAGTAATCTGCGCAGAACACGATTGAGACTTTGTTAGCGGAGCGGGCTCGTTTCATAAACGGATAAACCCCTTAGCAATCCTCGTTCCTCATTGGCATCGTAAAAAGCAAATTCAAACATAAATAAACATAATAAACCAGGCAGTACAGCGGGTAAACCATACTGCTCCGTAACCGGCCGAGCGTCGAGCGTCCTGCGTACTGACCGTTCTCAAAGCCGGTGTCGAGCAGGGCCATGTTGGAGGGCACGGACCACCGGTCCTTGGGGTACAGTTCCACGGCCACGATATCGTCCTGGACGGCGCGGTTCAGGTCGTACCGGCCCTGGAGCAGCACCTGAGAGATGGACACACAAGTGATGGTCAGATTATCAAATAAGCACACATAGAGACGAACAGCAAATCAACGGCTACAAAATCGGTCAAAGATTAAAAAAAAAAACACGGTCTAAAAAGATTACAACGCGTATTTGGCGTCCAAAACGAGTTAACATTATCTGTGAGACCGAACAAGACGCCAGCTTGGCTCCCGAGTCCCCGACCCTCACGCACCGGCTGGTCCAATCCCTCCACCATGACCGTCGCCTCCAGATAGTTGTCGTCTCTCGCGAAGAACTTCCCCTGTCGCAGCCGTCCGGTGCGCACACCGCTCTGCAGAGCAGCCAGGCTGAGGTGCTCCGGGTAGGTGACGGCGTGGTCTCCGGCGCCGGCGCAGTCCAGGGCGGCCAGCTGGTCCACCAGCTCCGGGTGGGCGCTCAGCGACCACACGTACGCGGATACTGGCGACGGAGAGGGTATAGCATCAGCGGCCAGGTAACAGTGGAAAATAACAGCGCTGCCGACAGCGCCAGCTAATAGTTAGAAGCGCGAGCCAAAGTCAAGTAATATCAAGAGGTCGCCCTTAGCTAATAAAACCTAACCACTGACATATTTCAAACCACGCCTCTAATGTCAAATTCCAACAATGAAATACGGTTTCGATCCTCGAACTTCTCTGCCTGGTCCCCAGTCTACTACCGGTCACGTCCATAGCCCCGGCTATCTCCGGTCGATATGAGCGGCCCCGTACCTCTCATGCAGGGCACGCCCTCCTTTTTGGCCCTGCGGAGGTTGTCCCGGTCGTCGGTGAGCAGCAGGGCCCTCAGGCCGGAGCCCTCCAGGTGCTCACTGTACCAGTGTGCCGCCCGCCGGATCAGGCGGTCACTGTAGTCGTTGGACGTCTCACCGGCCACCCGCTCCACGAATGTGTCCCTGGATGGAAGATCGGCGGTTAGCGAACTGAACGGGTTGTCACAGGTTGGAACGGGTTGGACAGAACAGAAAATCGCCGATATTTACAAACAGCAGTTCGCCAGCTTGCATTACTGAATGGAGAAAGTGGCGTCTGTCTGCCGGCAGTCTCTATTGTTAGCTTTATCATAATTGTTCAACTGAGTGAGATAGTAATCCTAGAGACAAGAGTAATTCAGCTGCGGGGTATCGTACTTGTGATGTTCGTTGATGAAGACGTAGCAGCGTTTGTCTGTAGCCGACATCAGATCTGTGAGCTTCTTAAACAGTGGAGGACTGCGCTTCCGCGCCTCATCCAGCACAGTCTTCAGTAGGACCACGTTCTTGATGGCATCACTGGAAAGGATCTCCAGCTGCCACAAAGAAAAAAAAACGGGCCCACCACCAACATCAAAATGTGTTGCATCAGTGAAAAATGCGAGCCCACTTTCCGGTAAGATCAGGTACCCTTCCACCACCCAGTACATCCCCTGCAAATGTTCGTCGTGCGGATCAAGATGCAGGGATGAGGTCCGCACACTTAGTGCCATGTTTTTCACCCACCTGATGCAGGATAACATTGGTGTCGGGTATCAGCACGTGCGGCTCAGGCACGGCGGTGCTGGGCGACTCCAGGGAGCGCGACAGGGGCGTCTGGCCCGACGTCTGGAGCTCGCACTTGGAGCAGCCGTCGACGCCGCACCACAGGTCATCGCGCAGGTAGTGCTCGCGGACAATCTGCCGGGTCGGCCGGGCGTCAGCACGGATGGACGCGATGTGGGACAGGAGTGCCGGCTATTAATCAGTGTCATGTGCTCATCTGGCTGATTAGTTGTGAGGCTTGTTGAATTACGCTTATTGTCCTTTTTATTGGCTGCCTGAGCCCCTTTTGTCAATCAAATGGCATATAAGGACAATTTAGACCTCCTGATGGATCTGAAAAATACACACATGGGCGACTTTCCATTTATTCACCTGCCCGGTGCCCATGCTTTTGTATAGCTGACACAATGAAACTTGGAAAGCACATAGGTCTGCATGACAATCATTTCAGGTAGGTGGTGTAATGCAATATATTCATATCCAACAATAAATGCTAATGTTTATAAAAACTTGCCCTTCTCAAAACTTCTCAATGAAATATATCGTGCATTTTAATGAAGAGCTAGAATGAAAAAGGCAGCAAAATATGTGACTGCCAATTCTTATTAGTGATTCTTGCATTACAGTATCCTATGTCAGTACCTAATTAAGCCTAAAGTGAAGTCATACCTTAAGAACATTTCCTCTTCTGTTCTTCTTCAAAAACACTTTTTGCTTCAGCATTGTCTACTAGGTAGGTGATCAGTTACACCCCAAAAGTCTGAAACACAAAAGAGACCCATCACTCCATGAAAGGTGCAATAAACATAGATAACTTATCAAAAATTATGTTTGTCTTGATAAAAAGGAGTAAGTACTTCTCATTAAACTAGCATTTGACCTTGCAAACAAAATGCAATATTTCTGTCTATCTTAGTGATATAGCAAGGCCACCTATCTTTCCATTACAATTTCGCATTCAGATCACAGATGGTACATGAAGAGGGAGATATTCCAGGCTTCAGAACTGCCAAAAATGACCATACCTAAAGCTTCTGAAATAGGTAACTAAACATAAACTTAACTATTCACAATTCCAGGAAATCAGGAATGAGATCTTGGTTAGCTTCAAAGTACCTCCCTAACTTGAGGAAAATATACCATTTTTAACACATAATTTTTGAACTGGAATACCAGCTTTGTAGCTTGAGCTGAGGCTAGCACAAATCAGGAGCTTGTGTCATGTGTGCCTCAATAATCACCCTATGCAAAGATATTTAATTGTTTGCAAAAAAAGTGCCTGCAGAGTGTAGACTGTAGTGTAGAGGACATGTCACATGTAGAGGAATGCCAAGAATGCAGCCACCTGTTGCAAAGGCTAAGCTCAGCCAATCAGCATGCAGTTGCTTTTGAAGTACACAATATGATTTATGAACATTAATAAGCTTCCGTGCCACCACTATTTAGCAGAGGCGGATCCAGCTCAGAAGTTTGGGGGGGGGGGGCAAACCATAAAAATTTGGTAAAAGTATACATTAAGTCCGAGTGACTGTTGATTTGAAAGATAAAGTTTTCACATTCTTACATTATTTGACATCCTGAATCCAAAAATGATACTTATATGTCCTGGAAATAAAAGAAAAACATAATCAAACCTGACCTAACCTTACCTATTTACCTACAACCTACCAACCTACAACCTACAAACCTACAACCTAACCTAACCTAACCTACAAACCTACAACCTAAAACCTAAAACCTACAAACCTACAACCTAACCTAACCTAAAACCTAAAATTTTTGCTGTTACATATTTGTATCAACAGCGTCACAATTGTCCACTCGGACCTAATATATACTAATACCAAAAATTTATCGATTCTTTCCATGCATCGTCCATAGGCGTAATGTTAAAATCATGCCGTTTGGGGGGCAAATGCCCATTTTACCCCCCCCCCCTGGATCCGCCACTGCTATTTAGCCTCTATCAAAGATGGAGTATAGTTCTTCCTATACAAAAATGGTTTTAACAACTCCTTTTGAAAATATTTATTGTTTCTTTTCTGATCATTTTAGGCATAAAAATCATTAAACTGTAGCAAAAAAAAATAAATTGAGGAAAGTGGTATATTTCCTTTTAAATATGAATAATCAATCATATGTGTGGTTTGTGAGCAGTGCCACTGCCTTATCTATGAAGGATCATTGTGCATTTTGCATATTTTGTAATCCACAGACCAAAGCTATCTGGTGTAAACTATGGGCATGGGCACACATTTCATTTTTCAATGTTACAAAAAAACATGGAAGAGGTTGTGGTATTTGACAATTTAGCCAAAATCACCAAGCCTAGGCTATATAAATATAAATGGCTTATGTAGGTTATGTAGGTTAGGTACATATCTACAGTATGACCCAGCACTTAATGCTAGATCCCCATTCGGCACCCAATCTTATCTCAGTGATGACACTCCATTGGTATTGACTCCTCCATTACAAACCTAATAAATTGATTGAATGGTTTGAATCGTTTTTAAGCATGACATTTATTATAACTGTAGAAAAATAACAATGACCTGTTTGCTGGCTTTTGCTCGTAACTTAGGAAGGAAGGAGCGAAAGGAGCCAAATACAAAAATCCATGGACTTAATTTTGGCTTCCTTTCATTATGACCAAAGGGGCAAGGGCTATTATTCATTCAAATGAAATGAGCACAACTAAACGCAGAAATCGATATACATCTTCACCAAACTCTTGGCCAAAGTCACTCTTAGAAAATAAATTAATTTGCTTTTCGTACTCAACCAATATTATTCAACATTGATTCAACACACGCGTGGCGTTGCGCGACGCGCGACACATCATGACGCGCCAAATATGTATGACACGCGGCAGATTTGAAACAGAACTAAAGTACAGCAAAATTTAGATGCGAACACTATTCAACCGCCACCCGTGCAGCCATCCTATTTGCATCCTATGGCCGTTTTCACGACGGAATAGCAGGCATCTATTTAATCCCCATTTGATCCTTAAGTTCCTCAGGAATTTTAGTAGTTCTTTTTAGTAGGTTCCCCAGCTTTCGAATGAATGGTGCGTTAGTTTGCTATTTTTCTATTAAATATCACATCGATTTACTTTATCTAAGGATTTATCACTAATATCAACATAAAGCGTAAGCACAATTATAAAATTATGAAATTATTAAATACTAGTACAATAGTTAAAAAAAGATACTGAGTTGCCAGGCTGCAAAGAATATATTCATTTATGGCGCACGACAGACATTTAGAAAGCAGCGCCCTGTTTTATTGCACGCTGCTAGCCGCTTCCATTGGGTTTTGCAGGCCGTCGTCATTGGTCGTTACACGTATGATGTCACGCGACTTGTGGCCTGTCACGGCTCTTTAATGATCTCCACTAAATGAATGCAACAATGGCCTTTGAAGTTGATCTCTGTGGCCATCTGTCTATGGAGCGACCAATATGAAAGTTGGGTGAATTTACCGGGGTTACATGACTATGAGCAAGCAAATGTGTATCAGGAATGGATTTAGGTGGAGAATTGCGCTGGACCATGAGTGCTCGAACGCTCCCAATTCCACGCCGGTTTGGCTTTGAAGCCGAGACAGACGATGCGGGTCAAGGTCACCGCTGGGGTAACGGTGGATTGGGTGCGCCCGAGCACCCGTAACGCGGCACAATTCTCCATCTATGGATTTTCCTATTCGCTCAGCATTGTGATAGGCGTTCGTAATAGCATTTACTCTGCTCATGTACCTATCCCCGGTTATTTAAAAGAAGTTTTTGTGGGGGAATATCACGGCTTTAGGTACTCGGTGGCCCTATTCACGACTTTCAAAGAATGCTCCGATAACTAAACACCGCACAGACCTACTGCATTAGTGAATCTGACAGAATGTCTGTGGAATTACATCCCCCTCACCACACCCCTAAAAACTCATCCAGTGTCCAAAACCACTTTTATCGACTCGCCAAAAAAAAAACACACACACACACATACACATACAAAGCATGGGGCATGTCAGCTCTCAGTTCATTTATTATTGTCTTTACCATGGTTCAATTGCATTGCGCGATTTAAAGCACGTGAGTGCCTATATAGTATATATGTAGAAAGTAATATCTACAGCAAAACATCCAAAATTACAAAGGCTACAATGCTTAAAAAGTAGGTTCATCAAGGAAGCCCATTTTTACTTGCGTTGTGTTCCCAACCATGCGATTCCAACGCGGGCTATTCGCAACGTCTGTTTTAAGGCACGTTAACAACTGACAAGCCGCCACCGCTGCCACTTATTCATAGATGGTTGATATCGCAGCTTGGGCGTCAGCAGCGCGGCCCACAACGCGTCGGCGCCAGCGCACGCAGCTGTTGGCACTCGGCAGCCGGTGTTGCGACTTAACGGCCGGCCGGCCCCATGAAGGAGAAGCTCTTGGTGAAGCTTTGTGATCGCCTCATAGCCGCCTTGGATGTCATCTTTCTTGGCAGATCCATCCGTTCAGATGGTACGGTGCAGTCTGGATAAAGGACGAAGTCCAACGCCGCTAACCCCGCGGGCCGCGACCGCCACCCCACAACGTGGCCGCAGACCGAACGGGCGTGAGGGCCGTAAGGGCCACCCCGCCATCCGGTAGGTGGCTGAGCAGCCGGGCGCAGCGGCGCCTGGGCGGCGGCCGCGCTGAGATGAAGTCCCAAACCGCCATGTCGCCATCACCGCCATCACCATTGCTGCAGCTGTTCCCAACCGCCTCAATCGCCGCCGTTTTGCCAGCAGTCGCGCCGCGGAATGGCAGAAGCTCCAGAGTAGCCTCCAGCGCCCCTCTCCGCACGTGTGCAGGTGCACTGCGGCCGCCGGGTCCGACGTCCAGGCAGAACATGATATTTCCATGCTGCTCCGACGGTGGGCTGGTCTTGTTTGGGCGTTCCTCCACTGTGACGTCGGTCACGCCTGCCCCGGCCAGGGCGCAGAGGCCGACGTGTCACCATCCGGTTGCAGTCCTCAGTCGGGTCGCAACGTGTACCTCTTCCGCAGCGTGGAGCGCGCTCCCGCTGGGCAGCGATACAGCCAAAAGTAGCATAGCATGCGGGCGGCCAGCGCTGCGCCGGACAGCGGACCCATGCCGGGGGTATGCCGGTCTCGGCCATTAGCGGGGTCGTCGGGGCCGAGGCTGTACAGTGGATCTAGTAAGGATCTCCAGACGTAACTAGATGGCGTTGAGCCTTAGTCGAGTCCATGTCAAACTCAAGGGGAGGTCAGTACCGAGCTGGGCCCAGTGGGGAGGTGGGGAGGGGCGAGGTCACGGTGCGGGTGACCTGTCAAACAGCCCCGGCGCAGCTGGGCACTGCCGCAGGCAAATGACACATTCCAGCCAGCCCGCTGTTCCATATCGCGGTGGCGGGCCTGGCGGCCGTTAGCCTGGCTGCTTGGAAGGAAAAGATAAAGGCGCGGGTTTGCCGTGGCCGGTTCATCTACTGTCACCTATGACGCACTCAAAATAACGCATATGTGATGTTGTAATGCATGATGCTGTGGTAGGTATTATTGTTGGTTATGATATTGATGTTGGTAATGCAGCTGGCAGTAAAATGCTAGCGAATGCTCCGAGCGCCCAAAAGCATAAAAGGATTGTGATTATTTATATATCCTGAAATTTTCGTTGAAGATAATTCCAGCCCCAGAAAGATCGTTCGCCAGTTTTGGACTGGCTGGTGTTTCTTGCGTAAAGCGCCTTTGGGCGAATAATTGTCATGGCCGGCGGTTTTTTTTTGTAAGACGGGTCACATCAGACTAAGGTCAAATTTAGTCGCTAGAAAAGGATGAGGAAAAGTGGACGAGTATCGCATTTTTGTGTATAAATTTCGAATTGAAAAAGCTAGAATAAGTTAAAAACCATAAAAAAGTGCATACAAATATATGACCCGAAACTAACTTCTGTTTTGTATGACCATGATTGAGTGTAAGACCACGGTCCAGCCTGGTTCCATAGGCGGCGGAACGGGGAGGGCACCGGGACACCGTGCCCCCCCCTTGATTTGGGCATTTTAACATTAGCCCTATGGGCGTCACATGGAAAGAATGGGACCAAAAGTCGGCAGTGCCCCCCCCCCCCTAATTGAGGGTGTTCCGCCGCTACTGCCTGGTTCAACCCGCCACCCGGTCCAACCTGGTTCGGCTCCCTCATTTACCCGAAGGCTTGGCCTCGTGACATTCACAGACGTCAGACATCTAACCAACAACTTTGGCCGAAACACTGTCCAGCAATCTACGCAGGGGCGCAGGGTGGCAGGTGCTCGTGGTGTTGGGGCTGGGTGATCTGTGTGCCGAGCACGATGTCGTGGGTTCGGGCCCCACCCGGCTCTAGTTTTATCTAGACACTAACCAAAACCTTTCCTTCTACTGCAACACTGACAAGCGCGATCATTTATCTCTCCCCGATATTCTCTAAACAAAGTCAAAATTGTCGCACCTATATATTTATATAAATGTTTTGCTGAGTTTCATAAATATGTTTTGGTCGTTTCTCCGGACCCATTTCAACTCGTGATTCTTTTCGACCCGATAAAAACCCATGAAGACTGAGCGCGCCAAGGAATGAAAGAAATTATGCAACTGAATATAAATTTAGACAAGCATAAGATATCATGCAAATATCGACTGAAAGTATAGGTCCTAGCTTTCAATTATCATTGGTTGACATTTTTACTGAAAGTTTAAGGCGTTGCCTCTCGCTTTCCCGTTTGCCGTTTGTTTGAGATAACTTTTTCGACTTTTTCCTTCAATCGCATTCTTGCTGGCTTCACATGAACAGGATACCACCATACCGGAGTGAACGCACCCGCAACCAGCATCCCCTTCCCTCAGCCTCGGCGCAGTGACGGGCGGCCCACTCCCGCCGCGATAGCTGCGCGCCACTCCCCATCCCTCCTTCCCCCACAATGACCGGTGACCTCAGTCTCACTCACCTCGGGATTTGGACTCGCCCTACCCCGACCGTAGCGCCACGTGGTGGCTCTGGAGATCTTAAATAGATCCACTGTACATACAGCTGGTGACCGCGTGAGCCGCCAATCGAAGCTCACGGCTTATAAGCTCGACGCGGGCATCACACGCCGTCCCGATGGGAGCTCCACGACGCCGCCGCGAACTCCAGCGCGGCTCGCAGCGCGAAGACCAGTACGGACGGCCGGGGCAAACGGCGTGCGGGAGTCGCAGGCGACGTTCTGCGGACAGAAAGGGTTGGGCATAAGCGGGTCGGCAGGACACTCTTGAGCAGAGCCTTTGATGTTATTACAGATGATCCAGAAGCATGCACAAAAATTCATGACACACTATTCTCATTACGGAGCGAGCGAAGCGAGCGTAGTCTTTCCTTAGATTAACGGAAATTTCTGAGTATGAGCGGCCGGCCGGCCGGCCGTGGTCACGCTTTTGCGAGGCTTATATCTCAGCAACCACTTGACCGATTTACACGCGGTAATTTTTGTAGGGTAGCTTCATTCCTTCTACCAAGTATTGGACTATTCCTGATGCATGTGGGTGACCCCTTATGCACGTGCCACGTGCAAAACGAAGAGGTGTCCGTTTTCTAATTGTTGCAATATCTCGGTAACTACTTGGCCGATTGCGCTGAAAGTTGGCATGTAGGTAGGCACCCACTAGGCACTGCATATCCATGTGCCAGAGTTGGGGTGCTGCTGCACGTGCGCACGTGCAGGGGTCGTTTCCAGATCTCGAGAACGGCTGGACCGATGGCGCTCAAATTTGGTACACGGTTAGGGACCAGTTAGTAGGGTGCCGTGCACAAGTCAGTTGGGACCCATTTTGCACGTGCGCACGTGCAGGGTGCCGCTCCCAGATCTCGAGAACGGCTGGGCCGATTGTGCTCAAATTTGGCACATCGCTAGAAACCGGTCAGTAGGGTGCCGTGCACAAGTCAGTTGGAGGTACCCCCTCGAAATTTCGCACGTGCAAGACTCACCCCCTCGCTCGCTCCGTTAGTCGCCCCAAAAGGCGTTATACTGGTTTATGTATTTGCTACATATGATATGATATACCAGCTCATGATCAGTGACGCATTCTGGGCAATATGTTCTAAAGTGAAGTAACTGAAGTTACAGCTTAAAAGCTTAAAAAAAAGTTCAGCTTAAAAAAACACACACATTCGATAGCTTATGAGAATAACATGCCTTGTGTGCTTAATGCAGGAAAATATTTTTTCACTTTTTTAGAAACAGCAAAAGAGTTGTCAACAAGCCATGTCAACTATCTAAACAATTTTTATGGAAACTGCTCTAGCTAGCTTAAAGTTCCACAACGTTTCCGGAGCACCGTACCCAAACTCAGTTCATGTTACAAGAAAAAAACAGTAATAATGCCTCCTAATTTTGAATGAAATATAGGTATGAGTAATTTGATTTGGAAAGCAACAAATTTCCGCACATCATTTTAGCAAAATTACTATTTTCTTTAGCCATCAGGTTACACAAAACTATAGTAAACTTTATGATCTAGTTTACAAAAAACCAAAGCCCCGATTTTAACAAATGTAGATAAAATTTAAACAATTTTAAAAAATGTATCGTGGAGAAAATGAAAAGTGTAGATTTGTAAAGCCGGGATATTTCAATTTCACGGATTAGGCACTTAAAGAAATATCTTCACCTTTCTTTGAGCCACCAGCCCTCACCCAAGTTTTACACGAATGTAGTGAAGCAGACAATGTGGCAACTCAAAATTGTGATGGTTTGAGATAATTATGACGGTAAAAGAAAAAGCAACACAAGGTTCCTTACCCTCGTTTTTTCACATGGGTTCAGATGAGGCTTCAACTGTTGCCGACCTGAGGAGCTATAGGGACTTGAGCTTTCCAAAACTCAATTTCTAAGGGCACTGAGCAGTGTTTGGCTTTCACACGAATGCGATAGTAAGTTATATGAAGTTGACAAAGCAAGCAAATCAAAGCATGATGCCCCGCGCGTCCGCCCGCGACCACGCCCCGCGTCCGACTCCCGACCGCCGCGTGACCCGAGGCACGGTATATAGAGAACTAGGTAAAACCGGTTTGCCGCTCCAGCACTAAGGTATTTTGACCACTATTTTCAGCTGACCTTTTAAGTCTAAAAAAGAGAACTAAAGAACAAATTTCAATGAGTTTTATGATTTGTATATATATTTTTGATTTATGATCACAGAGCAGGTCATGTATAAATCTGTGAAGCAATAACGAAAATAAATTGTTGACTATCTCCGCCATTTCAAAAATTATATATCTTAAAATGCAAAGGTTGTTCATGGACGAAATTAATTTTTCACAATCAAAAATTAAAATTGAAGGCCAAAAAGTAATATCAAAGGCCGACACTCTTTCATTCAATTTCGAAATTATCATGGTTCTGAGCTGTTGAGCCTACCGGACCTGCCAATGCTCTACCCTGAATTGTCGAGTAATTTCAGTGAGGTGGGGCTTAAAACATGGTCAACAAATATCAAAATTGAAATATCTTTCAGATTATGTGTGTTTTGTTGCCTTTTAAACATTTGAAACTGTATTTAGTTGATGTTGAATACACAACCGCCATTGGTGTCCTTGGTCACCCTGTCCCACTAAATGAAATATTTTTTTAAAACAAGACCGAGTCGGCATCTAAATGAATCACTAAAATAATGAAAAATACTCACATTATAACATATCAAAATATCAAAGCTCATCTAAATCGGGAAATTTGGCAATTGGCTTCCGAATATGAAACTTAGCTTTTTTAGAAACTGAACAGTCCTGAACAAAAACAACAATATTTCGTAAAGCTGTCGGAGGTTGGCGTGCAAAAGGACTTCTTTAAAATTGAAATTTAATTTTCTTTCCAGATATGCATGTTTTATTGCAGTTTTGATATTGTAAGGCACATTTTTTTGGCCTAGAATGTATTAGCTTCCTCTCATCTAAAAATCTCACTGGAACATTTCATTGAATATTACTAAAATACAAAACCGAGTCGGCATCTATTGAAATCACCATAGTAAATAGAATTAAATTCTGTATCTGATATGATAAATTTCAAAACCAATCTAAATCGGGAACTTACGGAATTAGGTGTTGAACACTGCGTACCATGATTCAACACCCCAAGCTGTGCACAGTTCACTGTATTGTGAATGCTGCTAATATACTTCTGTCGCTAGCAAACCCATGTGTTTGCATTTGATTGGCTGAACAGCGTTTCATTCGCTAACAGAGAACATAATTTTCTACATTTCCCTTGTTTCGGTTAGCCCAAATTCAAATTGTGAAGGCTGTTGATGTTTGTGGTAGACGTTGTGGAGAGCGATACATTGAGGAGAGTTTTGGATACATTTTGTGGGGAATAAGCGTTTTTGAGTTTCCTTTTTCTGGGGCTGTACAGGTACCTAACAATGCCAGGAAAACCAAGACAGTGTTTATGTCCCAATCATCTACAACACAGCGGGACAAACCTGGCCTCGAGTACCGGCTTATATGAAACCTTTATTTCCATTCAAGGTAGCAAGTCTGTGCCCAAATGGATGCTGAACCTTTTGAATATTCCTCCAAAACGAGTGACAGGGTTCATTTGTCGAGGCTGCATGGAGTATGCCAAGCAGCAGTGCCATGCTGCTGGAGAGACGTGAGTATGAAAAAGACTAGGTACAAAACAATGCATGGCAAAAGGGTTTTCACTCATGTTTTAAATTTAGCAAAATACATCAGCTATATTATGACAAAGCTAAGAAGGAACAGATTTAAAGTGCAACACTTACTGATACACATGTCTGTATCGATAACTTCAGTTTCAGTGAAGCTGGCGTCACCGTCAGCGCTGAACATCAAGTCTGTAGACGAAATTCTAGTAAAAGACATACTCCAACCTGATTAAACCAGTTTGTCAAGATGAGGTCCGAACTACAATTGCGCTGCTGTTGATACAAATATGTAACAGCAAATATTTTAGGTTTTAGGTAAGGTTAGGTTGTAGGCTGGTAGGTTTAAGCACGGTTTTGCCCCGCGTTCGATGTCTCTCGGACGGCGAAGATTCTATGCCGTCCGGCCAATCACGTTCCATAACCGCAGCCGAGCCCCCGCTGACCTTGGCCGGGATTGGCCGGACGGCATAGAATCTTCGTTGTCCGAGAGACATCGAATGCGGGGTTAGATTGTAGGTTGGTAGCTTTGTAGGTTTTAGGTTGATAGGTTGTAGGTAAGAAGGTAAGGTTAGGTCAGGTTTGATTATGTTTTTTTTTTTCTTTCATTTGTGAGGCATTTAAGTAGATATAATTTGTGGATTCAGGATGTCAACTAATGTAAGGATATTAAAAAAATATCCATGAAATCAGCTTAGGACTTTATCTTGACAGTTACCAAAAGTTGCATGTTGCAGGAAGTAGGTTGTAGGTCAGGCAAGGTAAGAGGGCTGTTCGGGTGTGCAGCAAAAATGAAATATGCCGCAGCATGGATGCGCAGTGAGGGCTACGTTAGTCCTGTTAGTCCCACCGGCACCGTTACGTCATCGCATGTGTGACGTCGCTACTGCAGCATATGCTCCTCCAGCACAAAATTTGGTGCTGTAGGAGACGGAAGTGGGGCTAATTACACATTGACGTCCTGTATTTCATATTGTAAGCGGTTTGTATGCTGTTTTTTTTGGGGGGGGTAACATTATCACTCTTTCCAGTGACACGTTGTTATTAACCACATTTGAACGCATTTTATCCAGTTATTGAATGAAGCGCACTTAGGGTGGGTGTGATGTGCTCATGGCTGCGTGTTCCGGTTACTACACGAGCTGCGAAATTTAGTACTTTCCGAACGCAAGATATTTGGTTTTCGCAGGTCCCACCCCAAACTGGCAAGCAGTGCAATATCTGGGAAAAGACGTGTGCCTGGATAATCAGAATAAGAGCCTCAGCAGTCGGGTGTATCAATGTGTGGTCTCACTTTTCAGCCTTAGCAGGATGTGTTCTTTCTTTTATTTCCTATTCTAAAATTTAACATTGCTGTTAATAAGGGCTCCTTGCATGCCAGTTCTTCTAGTGAATGCTCTGAATATGTCTTGGTGAGTTCAATAGATTACCCGAGGGATCAGGATAGGACATGAAAATAAAATGGTCCCTAATCAGCCATTAACCATTTGATGTGTTTCAGAACTCCACGCGACCGCGATGGGGCGACAGACGATGAACTGCAAGCCGACGGCGCCCCGCCCGCCGACGGCGCCCCGCCCGCCGACGGCGCCCCGCCCGCCGACGGCTTCTCGCCTGTCTATGGTGCCTCGCCACTGCCAGTCGACGATGCCCCGACAGCGGACAGTGGTCTGGCGATCGATCCTGGTCGTGACTATGTCACCCCCAGTACACCACTGCGGCGGCACAGGTAAATTGGTTTATAGCGTCTTGTATATAATCTTACCAATAGTTAGATATTTAATGGTTAGGTAGGTACCTGGTGTCTATTTCTATCCTTTTTTATTTGGTGAATTTCGTTAGATTTTAAAGGGTGCAAAAGGAGGAAATATCTTGTTTTACGTCATGTCTTGTCTCATGTTTTCTCTCATATCTTGTCTCATGTACATCATTTAATAACGGGGACATTTCATGGGACAGGCGAGCAATGATACATCCCAACCCAAATTTCCACACTGTCAGCTGTCCGCCCAGCGGTAGGGCTAGAAAGATGAACACGGCTGATGGGAGGGGGATGGTATTGCACGCAGCTAATAAGTCCAGCTAAAATCCAAAGGTGTGACGTAGGCCACATAGCCGGTCCATGGGTTTCCTATTTTTTCCTAGGTTAAGGTCAAATGATGTGTAACAGCTCTTTTCACACCAGAATATTATAGTTAAATAGGTAATGTTTTACCATTGCCAAGTTTCATTCATTGCTTTGTCAATTTATCATTTATAAATTAATCATTGTTACGGAGCGAGCGAAGCGAGCGTAGTCTTTCCTTAGATTAACGGTAATTTCTGAGTATGAGCGGCCGGCCGGCCGGCCGGCCTGTTGTGCGGACGCTTTTGCGAGGCTGACAGCCACTTGACCGATTTACATGCGGTAATTTTTGTAGGGTAGCTTCATTCCTTCTACCAAGTACTAAACTATTTCCGATGCATGTGGGTGATCCCTTATGCACATGCCACGTGCAAAACGAAGAGGTGTCAGTTTTGTAACAATTGCAATATCGCGGTAACTACTGGGCCGATTGCGCTGAAAGTTGGCATATAGGTAGGCATCCACTAGGCAATGCATATCCATGTGCCAGAGTTAGGGTGCTGCTGCACGTGCGCACGTGCAGGGGTCGATTCCAGACCTCGAGAACGTCTTGACAGATTGCGCTCAAATTTGGTACACAGTTAGGGACCGGTTAGTAGGGTGCCGTGCAAAAGTCAGTCGGGACCCAATTTGCACGTGCGCACGTGCAGGGTGCCGCTTCCAGATCTCGAGAACGGCTTGGCCGATTGTACTCAAATTTGGCACATCGCTAGAGACCGGTTAGTAGGGTGCCGTGCACAAGTCAGTTGGAGGTACCCCCTCGCAACTTAGCACGTGGAAGGCCCACCCTCTCGCTTGCTCCGTTAGTCGCCCCAAAAGGCGTTGTACTGGTGACTAATTGCTGTTGAACATCATTCTGTCAATGTAACCTCCGTCTTTCTTTATCCACTCTCCACCCTCAGGCCGGCAGCTGAGTCGGAGCCAGGGCCAGCTCCGGAGCCTGAACCTGTCGAAGGCCGGCAGGAACCGCCGATCCTTCATTGTACAATCCTTCGGTATTACAGCCATGCTTCATTAGTGCTCCACTCAGTCTCCTGTTTATTGACCATATAAAGTTTTCTGTATGGCATGGCACGTGCCATAAGAAAAGAAATTTAGCATTGCAGTTAAAGGCTTTCTTGCATGCCAATGCTTCCAGTGAATGCTCTTAATATTTCTTGGTGACTTAAATAGGTAATGCGAGGGATCAAGATAGTGCATGGAAATAAAATTGTCCACAATGAGTCATTTACCATTTGCCGTTTCAGATCGTCATGCGACCACGATGG